GATTTTCATTCATTTATTGTTGCACAAATACCTCCTCCCCCAATTCCTATTTGCTATGTACTTCTTATTTTTAGCTGTTGTCATACATGTAATGCCTAATCATATATTCCTTTTAAACAGTTCTTTCTTTCATCTGTTCCAGTGCAATTTATGTTATCTGTCTATTCTTATTCAGTTCTCCTTCCAATCCCCCATGTCAGACCTGCTTTATAATAGTGGTGCTATGCAGTATTTATCCTTTAGTGACTGAGATACTTCACTCAGGATAATGTCCTCCAGGGTCACCCATGTTGTGTAATATTTTACAAGTTCCTTGTTTTCCAGTGTTACATAGCATTCCATTGTATGAAGATACCATAGTTTTTCTATCCATTCACTCATTTGTTGACGTGAACTTGGGTTGCTTCTATCTCTTTGCTATTGTAAATAACACAGCAGTAAACATGGTTGTGTATATACCTGTTTGGATGGTGGTTCTGGTGTCTTTAGGGTATATTCCCAGTAGAGGAATTGCTGAATTGAATGACATTTCTATTTCCTACTTTTTGAGAAAGCACAAAACCGCCTTCCACAGTGGTTGTACCATTTTATACTTCCACCAGCAGTGAATAAGGATTCCAATCTCTCTACAGCCTCGCCAGCATTTATTGTTTGCTGCTCTGTTGAACTTTGCTATTGTTGCTGGGATGCCAGCTTTCCTGCTTGTCAGAGCTGGTCACTTCTCCCCCTTTTCGATAGTGTTCTTGAGAGAACCTAGAAAAGAAAGGTCATTGTAACCACTAGGGTTCAATGAAGGGAAAATCTGTCTCACTTTTATAACAGTCTGTAATCTAAGGATGAATTTCACCAAAATTTGGATGAATTTTAGCTTCTAGCGGGTGAAGTGAATGCTTCTGACAGTAAAAGCAACATCTGTGTCCTCTGCTGGTTATCCCAGGTTGAATGCTGGTCTTCAAATGAAATCAGCACTGAAATTGTATTTTATAAAAGCTATGGGAAGGTTTACCCACATAGACATTAGTGATCTTGGAGGCTTAACAGATCCCTGGAAGGGGGAGAGAGGGAAGTAAAAAGTAATAGATTAGTTGGCAAAGGGAAAGGCAATACATGATTAGGGCTTGATTAGACATTGTAATTCCATTATTGTGGTGTTGTTATGTGCCATCGAGTCGCTTGCGACTCATAGCGACTCTATGTACAAGAGCCCTAAATGCTGTTCTATCCTGTGCCAACCTAGCCATCTCAAACGCACTCATTCCCACCACTCCAGTCACAGAATCGATCCATCTCATCAAAGGTCTTCCTCTCCTTCATCGCCCCTCCACTCTCCCAAACATGATGTCCCTCTCCAAGGACCAGTCCCTCCTTGTAACATGCCCAAAGTATGTCAGACGAAGCTTCAGAATCCTTGACTCCAAGGAGCATTCCAGCTTCACCCTCTCTAGGACAAACCTATTTGTTCTCCTAGCAGTCCATGGTATAGTCAATACTCTTCTCCAGCACCACAGCTCAAAGGCATCAATTCTCTGTCATCCCTAATCACTGTCCAACTCTCTGATGCATAGCATGTAATTGCGAAGACTATGGCCCAGATCAGGCGCACCTTAGTCTCCAGCCTGATGTCATTGCTCTTCAGTACTCTTGAGAGGTCCCTCACAGCTGTCTTTCCCAATGCAATTCGTCGCTTGATTTTCTGGTTGCTGTTATCAAAAGTGTTGACTGTGGAACCAAGTAAACTAAAACTTAACTATCTCAATCTCTTCACCCTCCATACTGATGCTACCAATTGGCCCAGTGGTGAGAATCTTTGTTTTCTTTTTTTTTTAATCTTTGTTTTCTTGATGTTGAGCTTCAGTCCATATAGTAGGAGGCTGTAGTCCTTGACCTTCTGCAGCAAGCGCTTCAGGTCTTCCTCAGTTTCAGCGAGCAGGGTTGTGTCATCCGCATAACGCAGGTGGTTAATGATTCTTCCACAAATCCTGATGCCACATTCCTCTCTGTACAGCCCAGCATCTCGGATGATCTGTTCTGCATACAGATTGAAAAGGTATAGAGACAAAATACATCCCTGACGGACCCCTTTCTTGATTTTGAACCATCCAGTGTCTCCCTGCTCTGTTCTGATGACTGCCCCTTAGTCCAAGTATAGGTTTCTCATTAGCACAATCAAATGTTCTGGGATTCCCATTCTTCTCAGAGTCAGTCATAGCTTGTTGTGATCCACACAGTCAAAAGCCTTTGCATAGTCAATGAAGCACAGATAGACATTGTTCATTAATCAGTGCCAATTAATGCTGTAAAACAAAATGTCTATGAATGATTGGAAAACCAATGATCTGTAAATCTTCACTCACTTTACATCAGGGTCACTTTTCCTCCTGAAAGTGGAGTGTGGTGGCGTAGTGCATTAAGTATGCAACACTAAGCGAAAGGACAGCAGTTAAAATCCACGAGCTGCTCCTTTGGGGAGCTCAAGTGGGCAGTGTCCTCCCGTGGCCAGTTACCGCCTTGCAAACCCTCCAGAAGGGCCTCAGGTTGGAGTCAGCCTGCTGGGCTGGAGCCCTTGTGCTTGTTTATTGCCTCCTGAGAGAGAAGAAACCCAAAACTTCTAGAGGAAATCATGCGACAGAAGGGCAAGTGCCCGTAACCCCTACCCCTCATTTGTCGCTTGTCTTGGTAATCTGACGTGTTGGGTCTGTGACAGTAATAAGAAGCCTCCTGTCCAGCTGTTCAATGCCTTAACACGGAGGGACAAGGTGAGCTTGTCACTGGAAGGGATGGTTGAAGTTACGCATCATCTTGGCTGCACCCTGGTTCTTGGCCATGTCAGTTACATAATGCTGCTGTTGTCAGGTGCTGTCAAGTCGAGTACGACTTATGCGACCCTGTGAACAGCTGATCTGAATCCTGGCCTATCCCGGGCCATCCTCAGTCTCTGACACATCTCAAGCCACTGCTGTAGTCACCATGACAACCCTCCTGGATCAGGGGCTTGCTGTCTTTTGCAGTCAAGTAATACCTGTTACTCCTGATGTGGTTATCTTCTGTCATCTGATAATGGTTATCTTCCGCAATCACATAATGCTGATTTTAATGGAATGACCAGGCCTTCAGAATCTAAGAATGTCAATAAAGAGGAGTGGGTGTGTGTGGAGGGTGATAATGGTGTCGTGTGGCAAGTGTAGTCACACTGGCATTGTTGCTACAGCAAAGTGCCTTTTTAAAAGCTTTTGCTCTAATAAATAATACATATAACTATAACGTCCAAGTTAGCTAGTGTTTGATAATGGAAGAAAACCTTTTTCAACTGAGAAGTGGTGTCCCACAGACAGCATTTACTAATACACCATTTCACAGGTCTCCAGAAATAGCATATTTGACTCATTTGGAACTTGGAAGTGGTAAAGTGATTGCCAGAAATTAATGAGAGTGTGGCAGCAGAAGTGAAATTGAGTCTTCAGCTGTCTTCTGGAGAGTTCTTTCAAATGCCTGTTCAAAGGCTGTAAAAGAATCCTGGAGGTCGATGTGTCCGCTTATCTAGCAGTTTCCCAACTGGTGCTGCCCAACTGCTTTTTGGGAGTGCCCGCTACAAATGCTGGACTCTTGTCCCGCATGCCTTTCAGCATGAATGATTCTTGGTATTTTAGAGACAAATTGTAATCGGGCTTTGTGTTCAGTGTGGAACAGTGGAAAGGCAGCTATATGAAAGGCACTGTCCCACAGTTTAGAATGAAACACTTGAACTCCTGGTGACTGTCAATCAGGTAATAATATTATAAAGTGCATATACGTTTTTAGAGCCTTGGACTCATGCTGAAAGTGTGAAATCTGCTTTTTCATGTTACGCATTGACTCATTTCCTGATTTTGTTAAATATTCTTTTTTAGTACTTTGAAGACATTTTAAGTTTTGCATCATAAAGAATTACAGTGAAGGGAGCTCTGGTGGCCTAGTGGCAAGATGAAACTCTGCAGTCCGGAAGGTGTGTGGTTTGAACACACTAGATGCTCCGCTGGGGAAGGAGGGGCAATCTCCTCCTGTGCCAGTCAGATCCGATTCAGTGGTACACAACAAGAAAAACCAAACCAAACCAAAACCAGTGCCGTGTGCTAACAGCAACTGTGCTGTTTAGGAAAAAAAAAAAGGAAAAAAGAGTTAGAGTGAACCCCCATGTACTTCTAACTTAACTCAGGGTCCCCTTGTCCCACTCCCTCACCCTCCTTCTTCTCTCCCACTCCGGATTATTTTGAAGCAAATTCCAGATGTTGTTATGTGCCGTCAAGTTGGAACCAACTCTTTGTTTAACTTTCGGTGGGTTTTCAGAGGCTGTGGCTCACACAGGAAGAGACTGCCCATCTTTGTCCTGTGGGGAAGCTAGCTAGGGGATTCGAACTGCATGCCTTTGGGTTGGCAGCACAACTCTTTACTACTAGGCCACCAGAGCTCTAGATATGGAGCTCCTGAATTCCAGATATGGAATATTATTTGAAAATGTTCAACATCACTACAAGATAATCAGACCCACTGCCATTGGGTTGATTCCGACTCCCAGTGACCCCGTAACTCAGGTTAGAACTGCGGCTGGTGTTTCGAGGCTGTAACTCTCTACAGAGTGGACTGCCTCGTCTCCCTCCTTCATGGGCCTGGAGGGTTCCTACCGCTGCCTTACCAGGCCCACATTTGATTCACCTGCTCTCCAGCACCCCTTGCAAAGGTAGATTAAACAACACAACCCCAGTATTATTTCCATACCTAAACATGTTACTAGTATTTATAATCTACTCAAATATCTAGCCATTTAAGCATATTTTTAAAATAATTGTATAGTGTTTATTTGTACAACAGAACCACAAATTTTATTCAACTTTGTTGTTGTTGTTATGTGCCGTCGAGTTGCTTGCGACTCATAGTGACCCTATGTACAACAGCCCTAAACCCTGCTCTATCCTGTGCCAGTTGCACTGCCTCTGACACACTCATCCCGATTACCCCAGTCACTGAATCAGTCCACCTCATAGAGGGTCTTCCCCTCCTGCGCTGTCCCTCCACCCTCCCAAGCATGATGTCCCTCTCCAAGGACCTGTCCCTTCTTACAGCATGTCCAAAGTATGTCAGGTGAAGCCCCAGAATCCTTGCCTCCAAGGAGCAGCCTGGTTTAACCCTCTCCAGGATGAACCTGTTCTAGCAGTCCATGGTACATTCAATACTCTTCTCCAGCACCACAGCTCAAAGGCATCAAGTCTTCTTCTATCCTCCCTAGTCATTGTCCAACTCTCTGACACATAGCAAGTGATTGCAAAGACCATAGCCTGTATCAGATGCACCTTAGTCTCCAGAGTGACACCATTGCTCTTCAGTACCCTGGAGAGGTCCCTAACAGCAGACTTTTCCATCGCAATATGTTTTTTGACTTCCTAAAACTTACTCATTTAAAGTTGTACAGTGGACCGAATTTGAGCATTTCCAAATGGTGCTGCAGTTATCATAACCCAGTTCTGGAATGTTTCTGTCACCCCTGTTAGATGCCTCCTCCATCCCCAGTTCCCATGCTTATTCTCAGACTACTTTTTGTTGTGCTGTTGTTGTTAGGTGCCCCGGAGACGACCACGATTCATAGCGACCCCACAGACTCGCCCCCTGCATCAACCTTCCCATTTCTGATGTGCTCAAGTCCATTGTCACCTCATTGTGTCGTTCCACCGTGTAGAGGCTCTTCCTACAAAGCTCCGTTTCCTGGACGCCTCACGGCAGGGAACTGTGTGCAGCCTGGCCCCTGTGGCTCCTCTGTGTGGTTGTGCATTCGTTCTCGCTGCCTGAGGCCTCCTGTGTCAGTCGGCAGTGCTGTTGTGCTCGCGTGTTGCTTTGATGTCCTATAAGTGTTCACATACCAGCGTGGTATCGTGGCGAGGGGTTCTGGGAGCGCTTCTGAGCTAAGGCAGACCAGAAAGCCGGACTGGCTGCCCACGCCTGCAACAGTGGGCGCCTGAGAACTCTGATGGCCCGGTCTGCAGGAAGTTGCACTCTTAGCCCAGAGGCACCGTCTCTGGCGGTTCAAGTCCTCCGGCCACTTTGTGCAAACCTGAAGGGTCATCTCCTGTGTCATTTCCTACTCCTGCCAGTGAGCTGAGCTTGAAAGCTCTGAATAGCAGAATGTTGTTGACTCCAGTGTCAGAAGAGTAGGCCCTCAGGTTGGAAGGCACGCTGATGCCACTCGCAACGAGATGCCTTCTCAAGGTAGAGCCCATCTCGGTGATGTGTAGAAGAACTGGGTCAGCCAAAGAGAGGAAGCCTCAGTGGGAGCCACTCTGTGACTGCAGCCATGGACTTGAGCTTGGCGGGGTGGGGAGGCTGGATAGGGAGTGATGGTGAGGTAGTGGAGGATGGGGCGGTCACATGGTGAGGGGGTGGGATGGGGAGGTGGTGGAGGTTGGGGGTGGGATGGGGAGGCCGCAGGGTTAGGGGTTGGAATGGGGCAAGTTTCAGCCTGTCCTGATCACAGGGTCACTGAGAGTCTTGGTTTATTCCACGCACCTCACAAGCGAGTCAACACATCTCACTGTACAGACGTCATTTTTTAGCCAGTTTTCTTTCTTTGGAGGTTTGAGTTCCTTTTTTCCCCTGCTCCTGGGGGAACATTGCCTGGACTCCTTGCCGATATTCTAGATACATTTCAAATCTATCTAGTTTTTTCCGTGGGATAAATTTCTTCACCAAAAATGGCTGAATATTTCTGAGTTCTTAATATATTAATAACTGTTGCCAAATAGCTCACCTGAAAAGATGATTACTGTCCCATCCTGCTGTGTATAAGAGAGCGTTTTCCTTGGGTTTCGCCAGTGTTGGCTTTTTTTAAATTTGATTTTGAAAATGGATTTCGTTTTAAAGATCACGGTCATGACAAGATCTCATTTAACACCCTTTCTCCTTCCTTCCTTCCTTCCCAGCTGAACCAGAGCGTCAGTTCCTTCCAGAGGAAGTTCGTTGGTGAAATGAAGAGGTGCGAGGAACTGGAGAGAATACTGGGTGAGCTTGGTTTTCATTTGGAAACATAATAGTTTTCACATCCATAAAATTTGTTTACTTTAGAGGGAAGTGAAAGGGAAAAGTGGATAAGTAGAAAGGAGAACAGAGATACCACCTTCTGAGGACTCGGGGGTCATCACTGTTAGTGGGTAACTGTTCTCAGCTCTGTGCCCTGACGACTCAGGGGTCTCACCGTTTGTGGGTAACTGTTCTCAGCTCTGTGCCCTGACGACTCAGGGGTCTCACAGTTTGTGGGTGCTCCTCTCTGCTCTGTGCCCTGAGCCTGACTGCGGGCATCCTCGTACTGTACTCTGTGTTACGGCACTCGGCAGAGGTGACATGTTTTACAAGTAGAGGGCCTGTGGCACTCCCGAGTCCAGAAGTTCTGCTGGCATTGTTCCCAGTGCACTCGCCTCCTGTCTGTCTGTCCCCTTTAGGCCATTCTTATGCTTTGAGCCTTTTCACAGTTTCCCTGCACACTTTCAGTGCCAGCACGACTTTCGTGTGTCCTGGGAAACCTGCAGCTCTGCGTGACTCCCTCTTTTGCATTGGCTTTCCTGTTGTCATCTCGAATCGGACCTGAAACACCTCCCAGGGCGCCCGCCTTCGCCTCTGGAGGGAATGCCGTCCGCCTGGCAGGGACTGTGGATTTGCCATCAGCCCTGTTCTTCACGTGAAGAACACATTATGTTTACCTGTTATGAAACGCTTTCTTTGAAAAGGTGGCAGAATATTTGGGAGCTCCACAGGCTGTAGGAAGCTGGTGCCTCGGTGGTTCAAATCCACCAGCTGCACTAGAGAGAGGGATAGTCTCCTCGCACATGATTACGACCTCTGAACCCGCAGGAGGGTCAGTTAGGAGTCGGCTCCAACTCTCTGGAATTGTATTAGTGGGACATGACTTAATTAACCAGTTTCCTGTAGTTTATTCCATCTTAAAAACCGTGTGAGTTACGTGTGAAGAGAGTACTTACCGTCTAACGGCCAAGGGAGGCCTTGTGCTCGGTGATGGGAATGAGAACACTCGCAGTGTAACTCGCTTCCTTCTGGGAATCTCTTTCCTGTTAACTCTGCTGTCCTCCTCCCCCTGCCCCCTGTCCTCTGAGCTCTGCCCCTGGACAGGCACTGCCCTTTGGTCATGTAAGGTAATAATTTCCCTTTTTAAGAGCTTCATTTGTGAATGTGGTAAATGAGTGTCCTGTCTTTAACAGCTTTTCTGTTAGCATCAAGCCTTGAGATTTGAAACGGGGGTAAAAAGGATCATCAACTGTGCTTTCAGAAGGGTAGCCAGAAAAACAGGGAAGGAGAAGTGGAAGGAAATGGATTTGGAGCAATTGCTCCCATGTGGAATAAATGCAAATTGTTACTGTGGATTTTATGGGCTTTAATCAGGGATTTATTATTTAGTTAGTTTCCAAAATACAATAGCCTAGTTTTTTCTTTTTAATTGGAGATATTTAATACTGGGGTATAAAAGGCCTAGCGGTAAGGAGTTGGGCTGCCAACACAGACAAGGGGTTCGACTCACCAGCTGCCCCAGGGAGAAGGCTGGCAGTCTCCTCCTGTGCTAGCAGCTGCCCCTGGGAACCCGCTGGAGGGGCCGCGGTGAGTCACTTCACTCAGTGCTACATAGCGGCAGCAGCAGCAGCTTTGGAAGTCGATTCCTTCTCCTGTTCGTGTACTTTTAGTCATTGGTGAGAATTTGGAGCATGAGAAGGAGCCCTAGTGGATTAAGGAAGTGTTAGACTGCCCGTGGAAAGGTGAGCAGTTTGAACTCAGCGGCCACTCCACGGGAGAGAGACGTGGCAGTCTGCTTACGGCCCCGTTCCGGCCCGGGACGCCCGGTGGGGCCGTTCTCTGTCCTGCGAGTCCCTGAGACTCAGTGTCAGTAGTCAGTGGGTGTCTAGTGCGTGCCTCTGCTTTCTCATCCTTTCAGTGGACATGCTGTGTACTGGGATCGAAACCTTTAAAGGATAGCAGACGTCAGTACACATTAGGGGTGGGTCAGCTGACGGGCATGTGCCTGCGTGGTCATGGTGGGAGGTAGGGTCTCTTTAGTGTGGCCGGAAGTTGAACCAGAGAGGGTAGTTCAGTTCCCTGCCACCTTGCAGGGTGACTAGGTCCCACTGTTCTCCAGGGGCCCCGTAAGCGGGATCTTTTATGTGATTTTAAGCTTTGTTACACATTTTCCTTACACTTGAGCAAGGACCTTCTGCTGTGATCCCTTTTCAGTGGTGAAAGCAGTGGCCAGGCACCATCTGGTTCTGCTGGTACCAGAGCCATGGAGGCCGCCTTCCTATGGACTGTTTGACCTTTGGCTTACGTGTTCCTGTGCATCTTTCTCACGTTGTTTCAGATGAGACCAATCGTTGTACCTTAGATAGCTACTCACAATTTTTTTTTTTCCTCCTGAATTTTTTGTTGCTGTCATTAGGTGCTGTCAGTTCAGCTCCACCTTACAGGACCTGGGGTACAATAGAAGGGAGTCCTGTTCAGTCTCGTGTCCTCTGAGTTGAGGGTACAGGGCGAAGGGAGGCCTTTGTCTCAGCATCTAGTCCCCAGCAGTCCTTGGTGTTCAGGACCTGAAGATTCATTGGCTCCCAAATCCTCGGATAGCAGCTGCTTCTGTTTCTGGCATCTGCTTCTCCCTGTCTCTGAGGAGGCAGGGTCAGGAGCAGCCTCTCCGGCTGTGGCTCATTCTCTGTTCCCAGCTGGCCGCATCCACAGCTGGAGGGGCCGGGCACCACAGTTCTGGAGGACATGCTTCAGTGGTCTCCGCTACATCTCGGCTGCAGAGGAAACGCATTTTCTATGCAGTGGTTTGTGTGCAGGTTTTGTGCAGCCCCCTCCATGTAACAGCGTCTCCCCAGGTCCTCTCAGGGGTTCCCATTTCTAGTCCTCTTTCTTTCCTGCCTCTTCGTGAATCAGCGCTGTCCCTATAATCGCATGCAGGCCAGCTAGCGAGTGAGGGCCTGCTGCTGGTGCTGGTCTCTGTAGGGTGGCTGAACGTTGACACGGGTGGGTTCAGTCCCCTGCTTGCAGGATGACTGAGGGCTGTGCTGGGGCTGGGGTCCCACTATTCTCGAGCAGCCCTGTAAGTCACCTATTTATCTGGCAGCCCTGGGTAGCAAGGCGCCAGAGATCTTTCACTGGGGTTTTAGTTTTTGTCTCAATTATGTTTAAACCTTTTCTGTTGTGGTTTCGGCCATTACTGAGTGGTTTTCCCCGAACAGCTCCTACACGAGTTGTTTGTTGACACTGGTCACCTCCCTGCACTTAGCTGCCTCTTCACACTTCCTCTCTGTGTCCTGGGCCCATCCATCCTGCCTTCCCCTGGCTTCCTGCCTTCTGAGCTGCGTCCCTGGGCAACTGCTGCCCCTTTGATCTCGTGTGGTGGGTTCCTGTTAGATGAACTGGCCTTTAGATGGGAAGGGAGTCCGGGGAATTTGAGAAAGTGTTTATCCGACGACGGTTTACTTGCCCCTGCGTGGCCGTCTAACTAGTGTTCCCCTTCTCACCCTTGGAAGCGAGGTTAGGAAGGAGACCTGGCAGTCACTGGAACAGCTGGGATTTTCATGGGATCTTCTAAGACGTCCTCATAGAAATTTGCTGTATTCTGTTTCTGAATGGAGCTTGAGTCTGTTTTTTTTTCTTTTCTCAGCATATTTAGTGCAAGAGATTAACAAAGCCGACATTCCCCTTCCCGAAGGAGAGACCAGCCCGGCCGCGCCGCCTCTGAAGCAGGTGTTAGAAATGCAGGTAAGGGTCCTGGGAGGAGCAGCTTCTGGCCCTGAGTCAGTGATGCGTCCACAGCTTCCGGCCCTGGCGTCAGGGCCTGGTCACTCTGTGTCAGTGGTCCTGTGGTCTCCAGCTGTCTCAGAAGTGTGGGCTGCAGGTTAGAGGAGGAGGTCTGCGCCGCCCCCAGGCCGCACTCTCGGTGATGGGCTTGGACAGAGCCTTCCTTCCCAGATGGTGTTGACACAGGACAGCTGGCATTAGGTCACCAGCTCAGGTTCACAGGCGTGGAAGCACGCCCTTCACATTCCTCCCGGGTTCGCTTCAGCCTGCCCGCCCTGGAATTCCCAGGAGCGAGATTGAAGTCAGGCGTCTGGGGCGCCGTGGTCAAGCACTAGGCCTCCAGCCAGAACGAGGTAGGCTGTGGCTTTAGGAACCGCGTGGGCCGGCTCTGCCCTGTTCTCCGGGTCACTGTGAGGCGGATGGACTGCATGCAGGAGGCCTAGTTAGAAGATGACAGGTGGGTAGAAGCACTAGAAGCACGTGTCAGACAGAGTTCCTGCACCCCAAGTTCAGGGACTCATTCCCTGGGGCAACAGCGTCCTTCCCCTGAGATCACAGTTGCTCATGCTGCTGGCATCCGCCCCCGAGTTCCCCATGGACATTCCAGAGGGGATGGTTTTAGAGCTCTTCACTCTGGGAAACTGACTGCGCACTTTATCTTCTCAGAAACAATGACTGCCGAGTTCAAAGGCTGCTCTGTCCAGCAGGAGGCCATTGAACACGCGGATTACTGGCATGGAGCACTGTCGGTCTCCAGGCCCTCGAGGGGCTTGACAGTCAGGGCAGTAGAAGGAAGCCATCTGCTGTGGCCTGTTTGATGGGCTGCTTCTGAGATAATTATAAGGACACAATGACTTGTGATGGTTTTGTAAGATAGCACAGAGAATGAATGTGGTGTGTAGTGACTGTGTGAGCATGGGTCTTTACTGACACGCTGATTTGTTTGCCAAATCCCTTTGTCTGTTGTTTCAGTGCTTAAATATTGTTTGTGTGCTTCGTATGCAACCGGTTAATAAAGATTGGCTTTCAAGATTTTGCCCTCTGCCTCCAGAAAGCTTGTAACAAGGGACAGGCGTTGACAGGATCAGATGCATTATTTTGGCCACTGCCATCACACAAAAAGTTCTTTCTTTTCCTTCTTTTTTTAAACTTACTATTTCAGTTAAGTAGTTACTGTGGTGAGAAGGTGCCGTCCTGCCATTCTCCGATACAGCGTCCAGCTCCCAGTTGCCAGTGCAGGTTATGGGGTCGTGGACCGGAGGCCACTTTCTCGCTGAGCCACTGTGCGTGGTCATCTTTTTCCACAGTTCCCACCACCAGCAGTGTCAACGATGTCTGGAGGCCTTTTACGCCGGTTAATTGTGTAAATGAAAACGCATGCACACTTGCACTAGAGCACAGGAAAATAGAACGTACCTGATGGAAGAGTTGAGCTAAGATGTTTCCATGTTGTGGTAAAAGGAAGGTGCTCTCGAGGCCTGGCAGGTAGGGCCTTGTGCTGCTGACTTGAACGGGACACGTCTCTGGCAGTTTGAACCCCCAGGGGCTTCATGATAAAAGATGGTGGTCTCTCCCCATGCGGTTTATAGCCTTGGGCACTCACTGGAGGGTCCACTGTGAATTGACTCAGACACAATTAGCGGCTGTTAGTTTATGAGACACAAACATGTGCAGATTTAAGAGGGAAAGGTATCCAGATGGAGGAAAACCGAAGAAGTGCTAAGCCCTTCTGTCATCACAGCGCCCGAGTGCTGGTGTGACTTAGGGACGAGCTTAGGGACTCCCTGGGGTAACGGGAAACAACTCGCTGTCATCCAGTCCCTTCTGCCTCAGCGACCCTGTGGTGTAGGGCCGGCCTGCCCACGGCGTCTCCACAATGAAGAATCGCCGTGAGAGTGGACTGCCCTGTCCCTCCCCTGCCCTGTGGCCTGCCTGCTGGCTTCACCTGGCCCACTTTCTGGTGAGCAGCTGAGTTTTCCAACCTCCAGATCACCAAGACGTGTGTGAGTTAGTACATGGCAGAGGGAGCACGGTGGTGCAGTAGTTGAAGCCCCTGGCCACTCAGCGAGAGGCTTCTCTGCGGGACATCGGTGGGCTGTCCAATTCTAGAACCTTACAGCCTCATAGCTTGGCCAGTGAGGAGGGTCTGCTGTGAGCATTGAACTCTTTAAAGGTCCATCTTTGTGGCATTAAGGTGCCCCTTAAGGGCAGCAGAAAGACTAAAGAGGCAGCAGGCAGTGAGTTTGCTGATAGGGAAGAATAGTTCAGGAAAGGAGAGAACGGCACGTGCGGAAGCTCTTGAGTCTCCGTGTCCATCCTCAGCAGTAACAAAGCACATCCAGCCGTGGAAGCCTCGAGAGCCCCCCGCCCGGCCCCGTGGAGTCGCTGTGAGTAGTCACGGTTGATGGTGGGGGTGAGCGAGGAGCCTTGAAAATGTTGACATCCTTTTTACTCCTTATCAAACTAACATCAGACCGTGGCTGTCTAAGAGCACCTGGGACGTAGCGTGTCAGCCAGAGGTTATGAAAATTACCGGGAGCAGAGCACTCCTACATCCTCTGTCTTGTGTCGTAGGAACAGTTGCAGAAACTTGAAGTGGAGCTGAGAGAAGTGACGAAGAACAAGGAGAAGCTAAAGAAGAACTTGCTGGAACTGATTGAATACACCCACATGCTGAGGGTGACCAAGACCTTCGTCCGGCGCAGCGTCGAGGTACTGGGCCGCGGGCGTGAGCACAGCCCTGTCTTCCCCAGGGTTCTTTCCTCCCCAGATGTTGAGTGGTTCACGTCACGTTTTCATCCCTCCAGGTGGAGGGGCCGACAGGTGAGGGTGGGAAGCTGGCTTTCCAGGGAGCAGAGCTGAGGTCCATGTCTACGTGACTGTGGGGCGTTGGCTGCTGCCCTGGAAACTTGGCTGGGGACGTGAGAGAGGCAAGTGTCACTCTGAAGAGGTTCCCTTGGCTTGTCTCTCTGCAGTTTGAACCCACATGTGAAGAATTCCCTGCCCTGGAGAACGATTCTCTGCTGGACTACAGCTGCATGCAGAGGCTTGGAGCAAAGCTGGGGTGAGTGGGCGACACTGCTCCACTTGGAAGGGACAGTGGCTCCCGAGGGGTGAATGAGTCCCATCTTCAGCCTGGGATTGAAGGAAAGAAAGCAGAGACTTACTGCAGCGAACACTGCGCTCCTGTCTTGTCATATTGAATTTCTCAGCTGTGCTGACTCTGACTCGATGTGACGGGGCCAGTGGCCTGGACGAAGCAGCTCCTGTGCCCTCCAGTGCTAGTCCTCTGAGCAGAAGCTGTCCACACGGAGGCGCCCGGCCTGGTCCTAAGGGTGGGGACACGGGCGCTCCCTGAGTCACTTTAATGACTTCACTACTCAGACCTTCAGGGGGGCACTGCCTGATGCCCCTTGATTCCACTTCCCTGACCTCATGAGAACTGGCTTCCTTGTGTGATTTGTTCTTTGTGAGTTGAATGAACCTCCGCTCCTCTTTGCTCTGTCTGTGGGAATCAGTGGTGTTGAGTTGGAGGACATAATTCCTTATGAGAGAATCGTTTTACACTCACCTGTCAGCTTGGATGCTCTCTTGGTTTGTGTCTGTGTGTGTCCTTTGACACTGGTGCTAGTGTTCATTTCAGCCAGAAGCCTGAGCGCGTTCTTGCTTGTGATGTGAATTCTCCAAGACGACTTTCCCTTCGTCCAGAACGCAGACAGATGCATGAGCTTAGGGCACCTGTCCTTTCTTCGCTGTCACCAGTGAGTTGGAATCAACTCATGAGGACCCTCTGTTGGGTTTTGGAGGCTGCTCTGGAAGGGATTGCCTGTCTTTGACCCGGGGAGCTGCCGATGGAGGCGGACCACCAGTGGGGCCTGGCCTTGGGGTTAGCAGGCACCGCCCCCTGGCCCTGCCGCTGGAGCTCCCTGTTACAGGATTCTGAGCAAGGCGGATGGTTGAGTTTTTTCCGAGTCCTCCCATTTCTGGGTTCCACCCTTTCACCATACTTAATCTACATGCTGGGGACGTAATCCGAGAAGCTGGGCTATCTATAAAGAAGAACAAAGCATCAGGGAGCTCTGGTGGCCTCATGACAAGAAGCTGCACTACAATTCCAGACGTACGTGGTTTGAATCCACCAGATGCTCTGCTGGAGAAGGAGGGACAGTCTCCTGGACCAGTCAGATCTGATTTGACGTTACATACACAAAATAATAAAACTTTTTTTTTTAAAAAAGAAGAACAAAGCATCATAAGTGGTGGAAGGCTCATTAACAATATGCAAATGATACGACCCTGCTTGCGGAAAGGGAAGGGGACTTGAAACACTTACTGGTGAAACTCAAGGACTGCGGCCTTCAGTCTAGGTTACATCTCAACGTAAAGGAAACAGAAGCTTCACAGCTGAATCACTGACCGACGTCCTGATCAACAAGGTTGTAATTGTCGGCGAGCTCTGGTGGCCTAGTGGCAAGAAGCTGCAACTGCAATCTCAGAGATACATGGTTTGAATCCACCAGATGCTCTGCTGGAGAAGGAGGAACAATCTCCTCCTGTACCAGTCAGATATGATTTGACGCTACACACAAAAAAAATAATGAAATAAAGTAAAATTTAAAAAAAAAACACCCAAGGTTGTAATTGTCAAGGATTTCCTTTTATTTGAGCCTGCAGTCAAGCCCACGGAAGCAGCATTGATGGAGATCAAAGGTCATACTGCATCGGGCAGGTCTGCTACGAAAAATCTCACTAACTCTTTCGAAGCAAAGATGCTGCCTTGAGGACTGAAGTGTGGCTCGCCTGACCAGACTGTGATGTTTCAACGTGCTTGTGCAAGTTGGTCAAGGAGTAAAGAGAACCTGGGAGGGGCTGATGGGTTCGAGTGATGTGTGGTGGAGACTGTGGGCTGTGCCCTGGACTGTCTGAAGGCAGGCATGTCAGAGGAAGCACACACACAACGCCCGCTAGGACGAGGATGGTGAGTGTGTCTGCCTTTCTCTGGACATGCTATTAAGTGGGGCCAGTTCCTGGACAAGGACAGCATGCTTGCTAAAGTTGTTGTTGGGGTGCTGTTAGGTGCCTTGAGTCAAGTACAACTCATAGCTCCTGCATAAACTCAGACCTGCGTCTTGTTCTAGCCTGTGCCATCCTCACAGCCTTACACACTTGAGCCATGGCTGCAGTCAGTGTCTGTCTGGTTGAGTGTCTTCCTCTCCTTTGGTGACCGTCCTTTCCAATCATGATAGCCCTTTTTAGGGAAGAGCCTCTCATAGCAACTTGTCCACAGTTGGAGGAAGAAGCTTCGCGATCTTTGTCTGTAAGGAGCCTTCTGGTCACTCTTATCCCAAGACACAGCTGGTTGTCCTTTTGGCAGTCCGTGGAGCGTTCAGTACCCTTCTCCGGCACTACAGCTGAAAGGCATCAATTATTCTCTCACCCTTGTTCATTGTCCGACTCTTAGATACACAGCAGGTGACTGGAAAAAAACCATGGCTTGAATTCGCTGCACCTTAGTCTTCAGACTGACATCATTGCTTTTAAGTGTTTTGGAGAAGTCCCTGACAGTGGACTTTCCCGGTATGTCTCCTGATGCCCTGACTGCTGGTACCAAGGATGTTAATTGAAGATCCAAGCAAGATAAAAGGATTGATAGCTTTCATTTTTTCTCCATCTATTATGACGTTTCTGTTGGCCCTGTGGTAAGGACCTTTGTTTGCTTGATGTTGAGATGTACTCTGTATCAAAGACTGGAGTCCTTGATTTTCTGCATTTCAGTGTTTCCTCTCTTTGACGAAGCAAAGTTGTGTCTATGCAGAGCTGTCTAAGGCACATTGTTGATGAGTCTTCCACTGACCCTAATGCTACATTCATCTTCATAGAATCCAGCTTCATGAATTATTTGCTGAGCATACGGATTGAGTAGGTCTAGAGGAAGGATACAATCCTGACGCACTCCCTTCTTAAACCATGACGTGTTCCTTGCTCTGTTCAGACAGCAGCTCCTGGTCTAGGTGTAGGTTTCACATGAGCCCAGTTGAGTGTTCTGAGATTCCTGTTCTTTTCAATGTTTGCGATAGTTTATGATCCACCGAGTCAAATACCTTTGCAGAAATAGTCCTTCTCCTGGATTCTCTGCTCTCCGCCAGGGTCTGTCTGACATCAGCAGTGATGTTGGTCGTCAGGGAAGAGGGAACACCTGCATGAGTTGGGGTGACACAGTGGCCACAGTTGTGAGGCAGCCGTTGTGAGGGTGGAGCAGGCCAGGCAGGCTTTAGTTCTGCTGCACCCCAACTCGGTGGTCCCTGAGAACACCCACAACAGTATCCATAGATGAGATTCTGTTCCATCTTCTTACCTGACGTGCTGACGTGTTATCTCCTGCTGCCCTGAGGCCTTAGGGTGCCCGCCCAGGTCAGTGAATCGTGACTACTGCACGGCCTTCACTTACGGATCCCAAGAATATCCCTTTACCGTAAGCTCAGCTGTGCATTTTCAGGGATGTTGGCACATATCCCAAGGTGTTGGTGGGGACGTTTATGGTCAGAAATGGCAATCTTCATCATTCTCTGAATATTGTCTGGGACTTTCTGCTGACTGCCAGTTGTCTGTCTGTCTCACAGATTTGTGTCTGGTCTTATTAACCAAGGAAAAGTGGAAGCATTTGAAAAAATGCTGTGGAGAGCCTGCAAAGGGTACACGATCGTGACCTGTGCGGAGCTGGACGAGCCCCTCGAAGACCCTGAAACGGTGAGTCAATGTCCGGGTCACTCTTTAAATGGCCACAGACTTTTCCTCTCTGCAGCCGCTTGTGAGTACCCAGCTAGCCTGGTGCCACCTCCTTCTGGAATATGCCCATGTGCCGTTCCCAAAACAAGGTGGTTCTCAGTGATTATCTCAGGAGCCCCCAAACACCCAGAGCTGCTGCTGCCTTACCAGTTCTGACGCACAGTGACCCGGTAGGAGGGAGCCCACGTGCCCGTGTGTGTGTGTGTGTGTGTGTGTGTGTGTGTGTGGTGGTCCAAGACCACATCTTCACACAAGCTGATTGACAGCTGCGTCTTTCACCATTGAGCAGCTGGTGGGTTCTAACCGCTAACCTTTAGTAGGCAAATGCTTTAGCCACAGCCCCAGAGCACTTGCACTATCACTTTGCAGCCATCAAATCAGGACACTGACACACGAGCACCACTACCCTCGACCCTCGGATCCTGTTCACTTGGCCCAGCCATGTCTTCTTTATCAAAGGCATCGACTCACGTGTTGGGTTTCATTGTTTCTTTTGTTTTCCTCGTTTGGGACTGTGTGTTAGTTGTCTGTTGTGAGCTAGTTGTCATAGTCATCTACTGGTGCTGTGACCGATTCCACAAATGAATGACTGTAACAGACAGACAAGTCCATCTGCAGGGCGCTGGTGCTCAGGGGAAACCTTCTCTCTGCATCTCCTGCTGCTGGGAGTTTCCCGGTCCAGGAACGCGGGTCCACAGGACGTGCTCCACGCGGGCTGTCCTTTCCAGGTCGTCTTGACGTTCTCCTTTCTCTGCCCACTTCTCTTTTCCTATTATTTCTTGTGACATAAAAGGTGCTGCAGGCCTTGCTCTGGGGAATCTTCTCTGACATATACCAGGGCTGTGACCTGAAGGTGTCACATCCCACCCTCACTCCCTTAGGATCGATTGATCACATCGTGGAAGGTGCGTACACATTACACAGCCCCCTCTAACCTGCATCACGAACATCAGAGCTTGACATTTACGGTGATAACATGATCCCATGGTATCAAGCATCTTGGCCCAGTCACACGTGTTTCTGGGTGACACATGTCAGTCCATGACAGATTGGTTCCTCCCCTTGGCCGTCACACCCTTGACCGTTTTCAGTATAGTGGACCAGGGTCTTGGTAGAAGACCACGCAGGCTGACTTTCCAGGGCTTCTCTGTGACTGGGTCCTGGTCATGCATCTGTGGCCACAACATCCGGGTGATGCTGTTTCTCTCAGGAGGGGCACACCGCAGCCTGGCCGTGGCCGGGAGCTCACCTTGACCTCTCTCATGACTCATTAGGATTTTATTTTTTTTGGTAAGAATTTTGGAGAAAGTACTTTTAAAACGCCAGTATCTCATTCCTTGTCAGATTTCAAAGACAAGAATTCATTTCTGATTTTTTTCAGGGGCTTGTGACTCTCGTCACTTACTATGACACTCCAGTTCCCACGTGTTAGCCCACTGGCGCGTGTTCTTTCTGGATTCTTTATCCTTTCTGCGTGTTTCTTTGGGTTTTTTTAGCTTTTCCTTGCTTTTTTTTTTTTTTTGCACAACAGTATGTTCTGGATTTCTCTCGGAATTTTCTGCGCACAGCTCTCTAATCAGCCATTTCTCCAAGGAGCTCTGTGTCTGTCAGTGGAGACTGGCGGAACAGTGAATAAGCACCAACAGAAAGGTTGGCAGTTCAAACCCACCAGCTATTCTGTGGGGAAGGTATGACAGTGTGCGTACCAGCATGGACACGCACACACTCGCATACGTGAATTCACACACACCTGTGTCTTTATTACACCGTTATTTCTGTACCTTTTGCTGTACAGGGCATTCTCATGGTGTAGTCCGTTGGGAGCTTGCGCTGGTAAACCCTAAGGCCACACCCCTCTGTGCTTCAAATCTACCAGCTGTTCCTTGGGAGAAAGATGAGCAGTCACCGGGGCTATTTACAGGCCGCCAAACCCAGTGAAGGGTCAGCTTCGAGTTGATCCTAGCTTGACAGCTTGGAGTCTGAGTTTTTGGTGTGTGGTGAAAACTGAGCTCACATCAATTCCATTTCATCATCATCGAATTCATTTGAGGCTTTTCCCTTTCTGTATTTGTAGTTCCTTTGACAGTGAGAGTGTCTCCCACCCCCTTACCTGTCCCTGTGTCGTGGACTCCCTTCACCTGTCTCTACCTCACCCTCTGCCCACCTGAGCTCTCTCTGGGTTCACTCTGGGGCTGCCGGAGCAGAGGCACGTCTCACTGCACTGGGAGCTGACACCTTGTGCCTGTCGTCTGCCTGGACACCTGACCCCTCTCACGTCAATGCTGCCTGTTCCCTTGGCCTCTGACACTTGCGCTGGGTCCCCCTGTGGGGGTGCTCTTGCTCCCACTCGGTTTCTGATGCAGCTGTGAAGCTGACTCTTGAACTCTGTGTATTTCTACTTCATAGCACCACACATCACATCCATCATTGCAAAGGAAATGAGAAGCGTCTGGTCTGCCTGAGATAGAAAAGGAACGTAAGCTTCTTGATTGTGGCAGAAGTTGTCGGATTTTATTTTCTCTAGTCTCAGGAACTGAGGCTCCAAGTCGTCTATCCTTAGTTTAGCTGTAACAGAGGAGTTTGGCTGTGAAATGATTTTCGTAAAGCGTAGCCTGAGTAAACCCCAGATGGTGGAAAATCGAATCTGGTAAGCTGTTAGTTAACCACGTGTCTGCGGCGTTTCCTGCTGTCTGGGGCTCTGGCATCCATCCACCTGTCCAGCCTGCCCATTGCGACTTCTCTGTGTAAAGCCACTGATTAAGACCGAGATTTAAACTTCTGGCGAGACACGTATTCCAGTGAGTCACTCTCATGTACAGTGTGATGGCTTTGAGATTCTTTTCCTGTAGAATTTCTAAGTGCTCTTGGATGGAATTTTTACAGGGTCTATTAAAGAATACTAAGTACTCATAAAGAAATACAGAGATAGATACATATTTATATGTATACAGGTGTATATATTCTGAAAATACAACCCCCCTGCCCCCCATCAGTGCAGAGAAAATGAAAACAAGCCAAACCTAGCCCTCACCGCAGCCCCACGGTTTTCATGCCAGAGAGACCTGTTCCTCTCCCTGGAATGTAGTTTCACTTTGTCTAATAAATGACCTCTGCTTTCATGTCCCCCTACAAAGAACCCCACAAACCCTCCCTGTTACCGAATGGACCCCATCTGTAGCACTTTGAGAACGGGGTAGCACTGCCCCTGGGTTTGCAGGGCTGGTGTTTGTGTGGGGTGCAGGACCCAGCAGTGTTCCACCCTTTATACGTGGGGCCACGGTGTGTTGGAATTGACTGAGGGAGACCAGTAGAAATGAGTCTTACAGAGATAACATCACTGCCTCCTTCTCCAGGGAGCAGCCGGTAGCTTTGAACTGCTGACTTTCTGATCAGCAGGTGAGTACATAACCATTGAGACACTTTGTCCCTTTGCAAAGGAGATACAGGTGCTCCGTGGACACAGGCGGGTGTATTCTCTATCGAGAAGGTGAGGGAGAAGGGACACCGCTCACCTGTGGTGGCCTCACCTGGAGAGTGACGCGGGGGCTTGGCCTTCCCCCTCGGAGGGTCTTGTTCTTATTATTTACTTATTTAGTCTTCAGGTTCATCCATTTTAATTTTTTAATCATTATTATACTAGTTTATTTACAAAATGTGTTTTTCTTTTTAAATGTGAAGACTTTCTGCACTTGGGTCTTGGCTGGTCTAGTTCTGGATCTGACGGGCTGTCCACTGTGTGTACCTCACGTGGGCTCTGGGCCTTGTCTGTAGTGTGGGGGGGGCTGCTGTTTGGGGCTGACCTCCCACAGTTACCAGGGATGTCGGTGTCTACACAGAAATGTCATGATTCTTGTCCGTTGCTCTAGTCAGTTCATCGTGACCCCGTGTGACGGAGCAGCTCTGCTCCATACTCTCCCCGGCTGTGGTCTTTACACGGGCAGATG